CTCTCACCCCTGTCCTAAATCCCCCGCCCCTGGGAAATGTGAAAAACGTGGGTTATGAATTCCGTTACCCATGCAAAAGTCGGGAATCTGTTCTTGCAAGGGTGCAAAGAGTAGATGCCTCAGACTTGATGAGCCAGCCGGTCTCTGTAGAAACCATCAATGCGGCCGCCGCACGGTGAAAGCCACTGCGGATGATAGACACACAAACCTACAGGTGTGGCCGTGGGCCAGTCGAACCTGTTACAGGAGGAGGTGTCGGGCCAGATTTGGCCCACTGGCTGGACTTTGCCAGTCCCGGCATAAACCAACAATTGCCAGACCCCACATCTGTCTGACACGTTCTGCTTTCTAGAATGTTCTCCAAGAGATGGCCATTTAAAGTGTTCTGTTATTGCTACCTTCCACGATGATCACCTGGAGGGAGGATCAGAGCCTAATATGGGTAGCACAGAGAGCAAGCCGAGATTTCTTTCCACGAGAGACGGCGGTGACGGCTTGGTGCCCAGAAAGTATGCCACGTGTCTGTCTTTTTAGCTCCCTCCTTCGTGGGAACACGGTCATTAAAATATATATTGTGACATGGCAGCATGATTCACAAATAGCCCAGAGGTGGAAATAATCTCTATGTCGGTCGACGGATGATTGGATAGATGAAATGTGGTCCATCTGTACATGGCACATGATTCAGCCTGAATAAGGAAGGAAATTCTGACACCTGCTACAACACCTCGAGGGCCTTGTGCCAAGTGAACCAAGTCCCAGAATGACAAAGACTGTAGGATTCCACTTATATGGGGTCCCTAAAGTAGTCTAGTTCTTGGAGACAGAAAACAGAGTGCTGGGAGCCAGGGGCCGGCAGGGTGGGAAGGGAAGTTACATAGTGGGGACGGGGTCTCAGTTTGGGAAGACGAAGAAGTTGTGGAGGTGGGTGGTGGTGGTGATGGTTGTAGAGAGCGTGATGGTATTTAATGCTTTGAATTGTACACTTAACAGTGGTTAAAATGGTTGAGGTTTTTTTATTATGTGTATTTTACCAGAATTTAAAAAATAAAGGAAAAAATCCTGGGAAACATAGTGCACATACAGAAGAGCATGCGTATGTACAGTTTAAAGAATCATTTAAAAAGTACCCACAGTCCTAGCGCCCAGCTTAGGTAAGGTTGCCTGTACCACCCCGACTCCTCCCCCAACAGGTGACCCACCCCCATCCTGAACGTGTGCTTAGCATTTGTTTGCCTGTTACCACGCACGCGCACACGGCTGTATGTTTGGTTGTGCCTGACTTTGAACGCTACGTGCCTGGAGCCACACTGTGTGCATCCCTGTACTCTGGGGGTTACCCAGCTGCACACACACAGCTCAGCTCTGTGGTGTAACTGCGCTGCCCCCCTCCCCCCGCACCACCGTGTTGGACCCCATGCCAGAGGCACTGTGACTTTGGAACTGAGGCGCACCTGGGCTGAGTTTTGACTTAGATGGAGAGCAGGTGGCGAAGGGTGTGGATGGCTGGGCTCCCACTTCTGCCCGCAGCGCCCCCTACCTTCTGAATCTTGTTGGGCGAGTTTTACCCTACCTCTCTGTGCCCTGGTTTTCCCATCAGGTGATGGAAAGCACTATCTGTATAAGATGCCCCGGAACAGCACCTGGGACGCGCTCAGAAAGGCAGCTGGCTGAGAAGCCGCGGTGGGGTCCTTGTTGGGTGGGCCCTGCTGATGGTCGTTTCTCTGGCAAAAATGCTCGGTGTGTAAGTTTATCGTTCCATTTGTGGGAAAATTAAACACATTTAAGAGTAGATTGAATTAGGGGTTTTGTGATCGTTAGCTGCGTAAATGCTTTTTTGAGAAATGTACCCAGCAAGATCTAGCACATGGTGGCATGCTCACTAAATATTTGTTAGAACGGAGGATAATTTGATGAGCTAATCAAGTCATATATAATGGGATTATTTGGTTCTAAAGCTAATGAGGTGACTGAGAGCAGGAACAGCTGCTAAAAATAATCCCGTGCTTGTAGAAAACCCAAAGACGAGAGAAGAGGCTCGTGCTGGATCGCAGCCAGGAGCCAGGCCTGGAGAGCTGGTGGGGCTGTGTCCCAGGAGCCGTCCAAGGGCCCGTTTAGGACCATGGTTTCAAAGCCTGCATTTATCAGCAGTCTGAGCAGACCTGTCTCAGGGGCGCGTCTGCCTCAGACAAGCTCGGGAAACTTTCCAGTGGATAGAAACTGGAGGCCAGCACTTTGTAGCCTGTAGTGTGAAGTGCTCTGCGTTCCCGAGTCTCCATCCTCAGCCCCTGGCCCCCAGGGCATGGCGGATGGGGGAATGAGTCCTTCGTTGCCTTTTCCTAGTTTCTGGTGGTCCTCGGCTTATTGACACATCACTCCAACCTCTGCCTCTGTCACCGTATGGTCACCTTCCCTCCTCTGTGTCTCGTTTCTGAATTTCCCTCTCCCTATAAGCACACCAGTTGGGCCCACCCTGACCCTCTGTGACCTCCCCTTAACTTGATAACACCTGCAAAGCCCCTCTCTCCAGGTAAGGTCCCATGCACAGGTTCTGGGTGGATGTGAGTTCTGGGGTTCACAGTACCCCGCACTTAGTAAGTGCCTAAAACCCGTCAGTGATTATTACTCTTAGGATTATTCTCATAGATGAGCAAGTGATAGGGATAAATCATAAACACATAATCATATTTTATCTTGGTGCGGTATACTCTGGTTCATCGTGAAGTCTCTTCTTGGTTTTGAAGGGAGAAGGAGGTTTGGTCTTTCTCTTTTCGAGAAAGGTGGTCGAAGCTGGGTGCTTCGGGGCCCGCATCCCCATGTTTCAGGTGCGGGTGTGAGGACACCGGACTTCACGCAAGTCCTGCCTGCTGGGACCGAACCGGCTCGGTGTCATCTGGTGACATCGGGGCCCGGACAGAAGTCGGGATGCTGCTGGCTCCCTGGAGCAAGGGCCCCAAAGACGGAGTCTGGTGTTGCTCAGGAAGAGAAGTGGTGGAGGAGAGGGAGGTGCTGGTCTCCGTTCCATCCATCTGGAATGCTGTGGGTTCCCATTAGACATGGTTCTCCTGTTCTCCCCGCCCCTAGCCCCCACCAGTCTGTTCACTGCATCTATAAGTTTGGTTTTTTGTTTTTTTTTTTTTAATCTACCTATATCCATATATATGACTCTTCGGGAGGAGACCTTGGGGTTCTCGATTCTCTTGTAGTTTTCAAGTTTTTCAGTTGGTTTCCTTTTAAAAGCTAGGCGGCCTCTTTCATGACTGACCCTCTGTGATTTCTGTCCCTGGGGCATCTGCTTGGCTGACTTGGTGACGCCGAGGTGCTGGGAAGTACCCCACTCCCAGCACAGACTCTGTGTGCTGGCCGAAGGCCCCTCTCCCTGGAGCGCCGGTGGTCTCCCACGGGGAGGTAGCCGCTCCGTTCATGGGCTGGCGAGGGCCTTCCTGCCTCGCTCTGCTCAACCCGGAGGGGCATCCCCCTGGGCACCAGTGCCCTCTGCTGTCCTGGCGGTGGGCTCTGTGTTAATTTAGGTACCATAGACTGTGTGGCTGAAGCAACAGGAATTTTTTGTGCTCACAGTTCTGGAAGTCCAAGGTCAAGGTGCTGGTGGGCTTGGTTTCTCTCCCTGGCTTGCTGATGGTGTCTTCCCTCTGCACGTGCCTGGCTTCCGTCTCTCTGTGCATTCACATTTGCTCTTCTTATAAGGGCACCAGTCAGGTTGGATCAGGATCCACCCCTGTGACCCCACTCCTCTTTAAAGGCTCTGTCTCCAAATCCCAAACCACATTCTGAGGTCCTGGGGGTGAAGACTGTGACATTTGAGTTCTGCGTGACCCCAGGTTTGCATCCTGTCTAGTGGGGGTGGGCTGTGGGGTGGGGCAGGGGTGCCTGGGAGGGTGGGATCCTGATGCCAATGACTGCTCGTGGCCCCAGAGCACCTTTCTGGAACCCCGCCCACAGGAGGGTGAGCTCTGGGCACTGGTGTCTCTGTTGGGCTCATGCACTCCTGCCTAAGCAGACCTGGGGACTGGCCGATCCATCACGCAACACCCACGAGAAGAATGTGTCTCCCTAGGAGTTGGGGATTGCTAGGAATTAGCACAAATAAGAGCTCCTCGTGTGTCCCAGTGCCGGGTACCACAGGAGCCCGCTTATCCCTGTGACAGCCCCAGGAGCTCTGTTATGGTTGGCAACCCCCTTTTATACATGTGGAAACGCAGACATGGCTTGTCCAGGTCACCCAGCTGGTGGGTGGCTGGGCCCGGCTTTTGAAACCTGCTGCTGGTGTGTCCAGTGGCCAAAGTGGGGAGCAGATCTAGTTCTGCTCCCCACTCCCCCCCACCCCCGCCCCCGTTCCTGGGCCCCTCCACCCTGGGAAGTGAGCACCATCGAAAGCAAATCTGCCAGCCGCCACTGTTTGGGTGGCCTGGGCTCTGGCTTAGGCTTTCTGTTTCTGGTGTCTGATTTCTGTTGTCGTGGAAACGGGGTGACAAGTGTTCCTCGTTAGTGCGGGGGTGCTCCTGACGGAGTTGGCAACTGGAAGGCAGCCTAGGGCACTGTGGGCCTGGCCTGGCACCCTGCCCCGGAGCCCGGCTCCAGCCCCAGGCCCAGAACGAAGGCTTATCAGAAGCCAGCATCTGCTGGGCCGCCCCCCCCCCCCCCGCCTCCCCCAAGCCACATAATCGCGACTCTTGGGTCCCACTGCAGGAATGGATACTCCCTTCCTTTCTTCCCTGTGTGCTCTGGGTCGGTTTTCCTGGAGCAGTTTGCTTGGCCCAAGAGGCCGTTGGCAGCGAGGACAGAAATAGTGTTTTGTGGTTAGCAGAGTTCTATCATTTGAAAGCAGGCCCGTCCTCCAGGCAGCCCGATCCCTCGTGGCCTTCCTCAGAGCACCCTAAAGAGGCCTTTCCCACAAACTGCAAGTCATGGGGTCCCTGCCCGTGTCCATATATGAACGTGATGTGTGTGATCTGGGTGCCTGCCCCGTGCCCGCCGGCCTGGCGCTCATCTGCGTTTCTAACGCGCCCTCCAGCCGCACCCCCTCCGGGCCAGTGAGTGCCCCCTGTTTTCTGACCATTTTCAGCAGGACTCAAACCTGGGGTTGGCCCTAATTCCTGCTCTGCTTTATGGGGGGGGTTGTTTAGACAAGAATGGGCCCTGGGCTGACCGTTTGATTGACCGGCAAGGGAACGAGGATGTTGGCGTGAGGACGGTGGGGTAAGAGAGCCCTTGGGAATCTCCCCTTGGCTCCGAGGGACAGGAGCCTGCTGTGTGCACCGCGGTGTGTGCAGATGTTTCTGTCGCCCGGGGCGGGGTGGGGGGGCTCATGTGGGTCTTTGGGCCTAGAAGAATGGCGTTTGGAATGTTTTCAGGGACAAATTACAATGATCCTGCTTTTAGGGGCTGCGTGGCATGATGGATTTCTTTTTAATGACCCTTTGGTTCTGTCTTTCCCCTTTAACTGGCTGATCTTGGCCGGGATCTGGCTCTTGCTGTCACCACTGGATAAGCGATTCGTTCTGTCTTTTCTTGTGGGGTGGCAGACGCCGGAAGGGGTTCGCGCTGAGCAGGCAGCCGTGAGCCCGGCCTGCTCGTTATCAGCTCCGATTGTGCTAGCCGGCACAGTCCCCCCGATGCTCCGTCTTCCCACCCGGGAAGGAGATGGTGGGACAGGTGATGCGCCTCGTGCGATCCTCATAAAACTTCACAGTTGAAACCGAAGCCCAGAGAGGCCAACTAAGCTGGCCAAGGTCACACAGCAGTTGGAGCTCTTCACGTCAGCTTGAAGGCCATCTCCCTGGGGCCTGCTGGGGATGGTAAGGTGGTGGCTATTCGGAGGCCCCCGTGCCTCTGACCCGGAGAGAGCTCCCAACGGATCCTCCTTCCCAGCCCTGTGGAGTAACGAACACATTTTCCCTGGGCTCTGCCTGGTTAAAAAAAAAAAAGGACACTGGGGCTTAGGTCCTCGGGTGACCAAGATCGGAGCCCTTCCCTCAAGGAGGTCACAGGCTGATTTTTTGCCTGTGTCTTGATCATTCACATTGTTTTGAGCGGGCTTTTTGCAGGGGTGTGGGGGGCCTTTCTGGAGGAGGAACTAGCAGTTGAAGAAGGAGCTTAAGGAGACTGGATGCAGGGAGGCTCCCTGCTCACTCTGGGGCAGCTCTTTCAGAGACAGAAGGCCTTACCACAAGGAGCAGAAAGCGGCTGAAGCAGGCCGCAGTTTCTTCCCCTGCAGGGGTAGGGTGGGGAGGGATGTGGGACTGGATGGCTGATGGAAGGGCTTGGCGGCTGGCTGAGGGGCAGACCCTGCCACCCTCCCCTCAGGCCCGGAGGGACCTTGCTCTAGGACTTTCTCACTGAGGCGCTGGGTAGCTGCGTGCACTGCCCGGCCCCTGGGAGAGCCACGAGGTGCAGGAGCAGAGTCAAGGCTCTGAGAAATTCTGCAGAAAACGTCGTCTGTTTAGCTCTGCTTCACCCACTGCTTCCTCCGCTCCCTTGACCCCAGGCTGAATCCCTACCGCACCTGGGAATGCCCAGGTGGGTCAGTGGAGCCCGCTTGGCGACCAGAAACGATGGGGACAAACAAACGCACATCTTGCTCACCTGTGCCCTGCTGTTTGCCGCTTCCTCAGCTTCTGCTGGATGCTCACGAGCTAGTTTAACACGTGCTTTCTGCCTGGAAAGTACAGCTGCCAGTGGAGGTGGACGTCTGTGAAACTCTTGGTTAGGAAAGGGTCCCCAGGCTCCCAAAGCTTGGGGACCGACCTGAGTGTGCCCCTTCCTCTGTGGCTCTGAGGCCACCTGCCCGCACTCCCCTGCCCCCCACCCCCGGCCTGCTCTGCTTGGCACCCAGAGGCCTTTTCTGGACTAATGCTGGTCGTCAGTGTGCTTGTCGCCTCCTCAGGCTCAAGGTCTGCTGCGCCTGAGGGCGGGGGGCAGGGCAGCTGTGATGGGGCTCACGATAGTGCGCACGCATTTATTCTGGACGCGCAGCTAGTTGGATGGCAGGATACAGGTCCTAGCTCCATCTCCTGCCGGCCTTGGGGCCGTGGCCATTCCTTTATGTTCCTCATGGGTAAAATGGGGGTAAGGGAGGGCGCCCGCCCCCTGCACTTAGGACCCCCTACCACCATCCCCGGTGCCCAGAAGTCACCGCTGCTCCTTCGGTGGCCCTGCCTCTGTTCTTGTGTCCTGGCCCCTCCCTCCTCCCTGCTCTTTTACTTAACTACAGGGATCCAGGACTATAAGAACTTTCTAGGATTTCTGAAATGCCCGTGCCTCCCCTTGTCTGCTATTTGGTGGAGAGCGCTTTGTCGCTGGGGAGACTTGGTTCCAGGATGAAAGTCAGCACTTGGCTGCCTCTCCTTGGGCAGGTCGCCTGCTTGCAGAGTCTCCGTCTCCTGGTCTGCAGGAGTGGCCCCGGCCCGGCGGTGGGGAGCCTGCGTGAGCTCCTGCAGGAGCATGTGGGGTGGGCAGGCTTCCTTCCTCCGGGGCGCCAGGCCCAGGCATCTCTGTCTCCTCCCCGCAGGCCGTCGCTTCCCTGCCGCCCTTGCGGATGGAGGAGGGGTTTCAAATTGGGGGTGGAATGGGACATGAGAAGGGAACTTGAGAATGAAGAGGGGGCAGTTTGTGGCTCGGGGCTTCAGAGACACTGCTGTCTGCAGGCACTTGAACTTCACAACTAGGGCAGTTCAAGGAGTCTAGAAAAGACATACGGCCATGGTAGTCGGGCTTGGTGATGTACGTGCAAACACCCGGCTCCCTGAATGCATGGTGGGGAGCTGTGGATTGGAGTCCCGGGCCCCCGTCCTGCCCCGTGCCCTACAACCCTTGTGTGCGGAGGAGATGCTGTGTTGAACGTACCTGGCACGATGCTGGGAGAAGTTACCTTGCCCATAGTCGCAGCCAGATGGGTAGGCTGAGTCCTCCTCCTCCCTACCCGTCCCCCTGCCTGTGCCTCCCAGTGTCCTCAGGTTGGGGCCCGTGTGGGCGAAGCCGTGGCGGGGCGGGGGGGGGGGGGGCGGGTAGCCTTTCCTTCATCGGTGTGCTAACATGATCCTGCTACTGGGCGTATCGTGAGGCTGGCGAGGACCCTGACATCTGGGCTGGTGCATTTACTGTGTACAGCCACTTGAACTATGACCTCGAGAAAGAACGGGTTGGAACTGGCTGGGGCTGCTGCCTGGGGCCCTGGGGGCTGAGACCTGGAGCAGCAGAGGGGGGACTGAGATGATGCCTAAGGCAGGTGCTCCGGGAGGAGAGGAGACAAGAAGGTTCAGGCCCGGGGAGGCGGTGGGCCATGGCTGTGGCCAGAAAGGTCAGGGGCTTAGCACATCCCCGCCTGCTCCCTGTGGGCCCGTTCAGTAGCCAGGTGCGGGAGGAGGGGGGTGTGGTGGCCCCGTTAGCTGCTGTGCTGGCCCCTCTGAGGAGCCGCTGGGGGAGAGTGGATTTGCCATCAAGAAGCCAGTCTTCTCAGGCCTCACCGTCACATGTGCGTGACCTGCAGCGCTCGGGGACAGTTGTGTTTCTATCTGCAGCGTCCGTCGGACTCCTCCCTATGTGCTCCTTTATGTTTGTTCTGCCCGTGTGACCGAGGCCATGCCTGTTTCAGTAACGGCTGTGTCCCTGGGGCTCAACCTGGGGTCTGGCGCACAGCAGGTGCTCGGTAAAATGGGTGCAGTCAAAGAATGTTCTGGGCCTTTTGAAATGGCATGGAGGAGCCGGGGCTGTCTGAGTTTTCTGGGTGCTGTGATGAATTACCACAAGTTTAGTGGCTTGAAGCAACACAGACTTACAGTTCTTGAGGTCTGAAGTCCTAAAATCCAGGTGTTGGCAAGGTTGTGCTCCTTCTGGAGGCTCCAGGCGAGAATCCATTTTCTCGACTTCTCAGCTTCTCCAGGTGCCTGCGTTCCTTGGCGTGGGGCCCGCCCGGCGTCTGCAAAGCCAAGAGTGCCTGCATCTCTCGCTGCTTCTGCTGTCTCGTTGCTCACAGCGCCACCTGTGTCCTTTTTAGAAGGACCCTTGCGACTCCTTTGGGCACCCCTGGGTAACCAGGATCACTCCCCGTCTCAAGATCCCTGACTTAATCATATTTGCAAAGTCCCTTTTGCCTCGCAGAGCCACAGGCTCCAGGGATCAGGACGGAGACATCTTTGGGGGCAGGGGGAGCATTATTTAGCGGGGCCCAGAGGCCCTGAAAGAAAAGAGCTCCTACGAGTTCCAAAGAGGAACACCGGAGGGGAATGTTAGGGTCCTGAAACATTCCCTTGTTCATTCATCCACAAATTCACCATTAACCTGCTGTGTGTCATCGAGTACCTCCTCTGGGCCAGGCCCCGTGCGTCTGCCCTTCCAGACCACTATGGACACGCATCCAGCAACGGGTGCATGCACATGCCTCAAACGTGACCGTGCTTGAAAGGAAAGCAACGAGATGGGGCCCAATGGGATTGTATGGGGTGCGATGGGGAACCTCGCTTTGTCTGGCTGGCTGCGAGAGAGTCTCCACGGGCCTCCGGCTCCTAGCTACTCCTTTGGGGCTTTCCCTCCAAAGGCTGGTCTCCAGGAACCCCGGCGGGTTGTGAAGATCCCTTTCCTCTGTTGCCTGGAGTGTTGGATCCATTTGAGCTAGGGTGGGGTTGTGCTTGCCCAGGCGGGCCACCCGAAATGCTGCGTTGGCCCCCAGAGTGTCTCAGGTGAGGACGCAGCTGCCATCACCAGGACTGGCCCCGTTGGAAGGAGCCCATCTGCCCAGCAGACCGGATTCTTTAGTTCGGATGGAACCTTTGCAGATTGGTTCTGGTCTCGCTTCTGCTGGTGGAGATAGGCCAGTAGAGGGCGCCATGCTGCTGCCGTTTCCTCAGCCCCTTCTCTGGTCCCCCCCCCGCCCCCCCCCCCCCCCCCCCCCCCCCCCCCCGGGTCTCCGGTGGCAGGTGCACATAGAATCGCTTTTTTTTTTTTTTTAACGACTTAATGATTTAATCTTCTTATTTTCTCAGCAGAACACGCTCTGGACTTCCCTGAATACGACGGGACATTACTGATCAGATTA